ACCCAGGCCTGTATATTCTTACGCCTCAAATTTCCACTAAAATTTTAATTTTACAGGAGCCTTTTTTACACTGGTTAGCATTCACTGAGCATTTTAAGAATTGCTCTTTAATTTTAACATGTAGAAAATTGTTCCAAGACCCCACCAAATTAACATTTTAGAACCTAAAACTTACTCTCTTTCCTTGTTAAGAACCATCATGTCTTAACTTACACAAGAAACAAACCTGATTATTTCTTTGGAGTTAGGCTTACTTCCCAGTTAAGTTGCTTGCTCTGGTAACATTGGTCTGCAACACATTTCCATTATGAGCCAAGTTACAAATTTCTAGGTGGCATAGATCTTTGGCATTACTCATGATTAGCAAAAGTGAATATTAAATCTGCAAGTTATGAGGATGTGCTAGTTTTCTTCTTCCTTTTTTCTCTATACTTACGTATTTTTTAGTCTTATTAAGTGCTATATAAACTTTTATTCTGCATTTTTCACCCAACATTTAATCAAAAGCATTTTTCCAACATAAATTCTCTTGATTTTGAATTTCCCCCCCCCCCCCAGAATGTTTCCATTGGAATTGTTGGTAAAGACTTGGAGTTTACGATTTATGATGATGATGATGTATCTCCATTCCTGGAAGGTCTTGAAGAAAGACCACAGAGAAAGGCACAGGTATATAACTAATCATAACACCAGAGGCTTTAGTTCTATCATAAACTACTGTTCCTACCACAATTGTTTAGTAGGTTCGCAGTTCAAATGGCAGTAGGAAAACTTAGAACTGAATAATGTAAAATACTGAGGGGGCAGTGATCTCCATAAACAACAAGGGTTGATGATTTGGTTATCTGTTGCTATTTTTCACTATTAAGTCATTCTTTTGCTGGTCTCATTTAGGATCTCTTGTAGTCTGTTGAAGCAGTGGGACTGGAACTTTCAAGATGGCTTTATTCACAGTCTTCTTTATTCATATTCTCTAGGTATATCCTAGAGGGACAGCTAGAAGGCTGGGACCTCTGCTAAGATGGCTGGACTACTGTCCATGTAATCTCAGAGCCTCTCTTTACCAGGGTCTCCTTATCAGGGTAGCAGCTCAGAGCTTGCAGAAGTTCAAAAGCTCAAAAGTGGAAGCTGCTAGACATTCTTAAAGGCTGAGGCTCAGGAGTGGCACAGCATCAGTTTTGCTCATTCTGTTGGTGAAAGGAAATCATAAGGCCAGCCAAGAGTCTGTAGGAAAGGGGACTGAAAGAAAGTTCATTGGGGACCCTTTGGAAACTAAATTGGCCCTTTACAAATATTGAGAAAAGGATCAGGAAGTATTGGGAAATCTCAGATTAAATACTGGTCTGTTTTGTTGTGTATTTAGAATACACAGTTGCTATTTATAGATACTTATTTGATAGCTGTGTAATTGAAAATAAAGTGTCCTGGAGAGAAATATTTTCTATAGTGTGAGTTTTTTTTCAACTTGGAGAGGATATTGTTGGTACTATTTGGAGGAGTAGGATTTGCATTATTTAAACTGTTGTTGATAAGAACCAGAACTGTTGCTGTGAGTTCCACACAGCTGATTTGTTTAGTCATGTTTTCTCTGTGTTTATTAGTGCTAAAGAGGATGAGAATGTGGAAAATGTACTGATTATATTCTAAGGCTAGTACTGATCCTTTATTCCTGAACAAGACAAAGTATGATAAAATGCTGGAATTGTTCAATGATGCTTAGGTTTTCAGACCTCTAAAATTATTTATGTTTTAAAAAAACAAAACACCTTTGTTCAGAAATTTTAACAGGACAATGAACTAAAATTGAGTATCCAAAATGTCTCCTAACCCCTTTTTCTTGTAAATTCTTTTATAATAATTGTGATTAGAAGTATATATTGGTCAAGTGTTTTTTTTTTAACCTGTTTTCTTTTTTCTTCCTCTTACAGCCTGCTCAGCCTGCAGATGAACCTGCAGAAAAGGCTGATGAACCGATGGAACATTAAGTTACAAGCCAGTCTGTATGTTTATTATCAAATCTGTAAGAATGCAGGAACATGTACTGATGACAATAATCTGTACGTAGGAATCAGTCCAGATGTGTTTTTCCCTAGCAACTTGTCTGAAACCATATAATGGTGTGCATTTTTCTTTGAGAGGGTCTATATAATCATTTTCTAGAAAGTATAGGTATCTGTACTGATGTTTTTATATGAAGAACATAGTGTCTTTGTGGTTTTAAAGACAACTGTGAAATAAAATTGTTTCACCTGCCTGTGTATTGGGTTTTTGTTTGTTTTTTAAGTAGCTTCAACTATAAATAGTAATGAGATTACAACTGGTCATCTGCCATGTTTGACAAATTAATTTGCCTTATGTTTAGTGAGGGGGGAAAATAATACCTCTTATCTGTCACAGCCTTATGCCAATTCCCTATGTATGGACTGGCTACATGAGAATCCATGGAGATGTGGTTCAGAATACAAATTGCTGGGTTCAACCCTGTAGATCCTTATTAAAATGTAAGAAACCACCACTTCCCAGCCACCATAGTAGCAAGGTTTTTAAATGGTTTTTCTTTACAACCAGCAGATGGCAGTAGTGATAGCTCTGGTCTCAGTGTAGGGAACTTTTGCAAAAATAACAAAAGGGAAATTTTAATCCCAAACCATCATTTCCTCTTATCATGCCCAGCCCCACTCTGGCGTAATCTTTAGACTGCCTTGCATTATTTTTGTGAGCGGTGTATGCAGATACTGCAGAACAATTTTTATCTTAGGCCATGCAAAATGAAATTCGAGGAAATCTGATTTACAAAACACTCCAAAAATTTTGCTGCTAAGAAACCTTGAGTTTTTTATTTCCTGAGATTCCTATCTTTCTAGAGAGGAGCAGTTCATTTGTAGATAGGAACTTGGATTTTAGATCTAATTCTACTAATTAGTTGCCGTTTGGAGAATTATTGTGAAGGTTAAATGGGAGAATTTATGTGGAAACACCTTGTACACTCTAAAATTCATAAAATGTTAGTTTTTTTCCCCAAATTGTCCAAAAACTTATTTTTTTTAAAGATTTTATTTTTGGGGTGCCTGGGTGGCTCAGTTGGTTAAGCGTTTGCCTTTGGCTCAGGCCGTGGTCCCAGCATCCTGGGATCAAGCCCCACATGGTGCTCCCTGCTCAGCCGGGAGCCTGCTTCTCCTCTCCCTCTCTGCGTGACGCTCCCCCTGCTTGTGCTTTCTATGTTGAATAAATAAAATCTTTAAAAAATAATAATAAAAATAAAGATTTTAAGTAATCTCTACACCCAATGTGGGGCTTGAACCTACAAGTCTTAAGACCAAGAGTCACACGCTCCACCGACTGAGCCAGCCAGGTGCCCCATAGATTGCCCAAAACTTTAAAAGCTTTAGTAGATTTAAATCTCTCTGACTTCTTGAAAGTAAAGTGCTAAGAGGAACTCTGGCAACCTTGTTGAGAGAAAGACCTGACTAAATACAGGAATGTGTGAGGTGTTGGGTCTCTGTTCTGGAAGTAGCCTCAGGAGTTGGCCATTTGAGCTTGGGATGAGGCCACAAGAAGCATGTGGCCATTTGACCTACCATAGAGTTGCACTGAGCATGTGCAACTTTCACACACACAGTGAATGAGAGGGAGTTGTCCCACCTGCCTTCAGACTCAAAGGCTATTATATAGTCTGGAGGAGGGAACATAAGTGGGAAATTTCATAATCTGCTCTTTAAAGCCTCAGGCAGGTCTCTCTTCCTCTGCCTATCATTGTGTGAGTCTCTGTCTTGTTGGCTGATTCTGTTGTTTAAAGATAATGCATAACATTTTGTATCTGTTCCCTAAATGTAGACCAATTACTTGACTGGTACTCCTAGGAAAAAAAATGTCATCTGTATTGTTCTTTGGAGGCAGTTTTAGTAATCTTTTTAGTTTTTTATTATTTTTTTTAAGTTCTATTTATTTAAAACAGAGGGCGTGGGGTGGGGGTGTGCAGAGGGAGAGGAAAAAGCAGAGCCCCGCTGAGCATGGGTCCTGATGGCAGGGCTTGATCCTAAGACCCGGAGATCATGACCTGAGCCAAAGGCAGATGCCTAAGTGACTGAGCCACCAAGGTCCCCTTAGTAATCTTTTCAATATGTGATGTTAGTCTTATGCACTGACCTTAGAATGTTAAAATCGTTTCCACCCCAATAAGATTCAGTCAACTCCACTGTCTGTTCATGGTGATGCCTTTCCATTGTTGTTTTGTCTAGTGTGTTATATTTAGTTATTCTGTTTAATCTGTGTTAAATAATTATAAACAATAAAATTCCTAATAATAATCCTCTCATAAACCCTATCACTGATAGAAAAATAATATTCAATTCACCTGGAATTTATTAGGCATCTATAGGTGCAGCTTTGAAGAACTCATGATTAAAAAATAAGAGGCAGGGCGCCTGGGTGGCTCAGTTGGTTAAGCGACTGCCTTCGGCTCAGGTCATGATCCTGGAGTCCCGGGATCG